TAAAACAAATTTAGAAAGGCGCGACAGACGACAGCACTTTTAGTACGGAAATATTTGCTGCCTTACTGCTGTCGTCTGCCTCGGTCTCGCGTTCCCAAATGGTAGCTTAAAGGTCATCAACGTACGTCTAGTATGCTTTAAATACGTTAAATAATTAAATTATCTCAACTTTGAATAAGTTTGGTTCAGTTTCCTCCAGTCGTTGTCGTTATTTACCAATAAATATTCCTTAATTTTTTTATGGATAGAATAATAAATGCTGAGTTCGGGCGGAAAACACGGAATAGAGTTAACGCAAGAGTACATTTTGGTCAAGTGGCATCGTAGTCAAAAGAGTTAATCGTATTAATTTGAACGATACCTACTTCTTTTTAGGATTTTGGAAATAATAATAAACATAACTTGTTTTTGTATTTGCTGTTGACATAAATTAATTAATGTGGATTGTAAAATTTGCAGTAGAATATGATTTTGACGTTGATGAGGACAACATTTACAATTTTGCCGAAAACACATTACCCAATATTAATAGGATGATCAATTTGTATTTCTGTCTGAAACCAGAAACCTTTGATTCTCTTTCATAGAGAAGTATAGGGACCGTGCGTCATGACTTTAACGCTAACTGGTGACAAAAATGTGAACTTTTTGGGGGGTATTTATTAATGTTTTATACGGCATTTATTGTTTAATAATTATTAATAAAATGAAATCGAATTATTTTCGTAATATCAATATCGAAAAAACTTGTTGCATCCGTGGATGTACAAACACATCACTTTAGAAACCTGGATTTCATTCGATAGTAAAGAAATTTTATAAATTTCCACAGAGCACAATTATGCCTCACACCCAATGATATACATAATTACAAAGATTGCTTATCCATATGTAAATCAGACGACGAAAAGCGTATTTCACTGGGCAAAGTTTTCTTTTTATCTAGCTTGTATCAATTTTGAGCACTTAGTTGTAAAGAAATCATTTACAGAAAAATTAGAATCTTTAGTGTTTTCTTGTCATTAAGATTTTTACATATTTAAATGACCATTTTATATAAATATAATTTTACAGATAATGGTTTATTCTGTTGATTAAAACTAATGTAGAATGTTATGAAATAAGAATATCCAATTTGACAAAAATATCACGGCCCTCTTTACAATTTATTAACTATTTCTCATTTATTATTAAAATAAACAAATCATAAATAATACATTGCAATTACTGTCAAAAGAGATTGTAACAAACTTTAAAATATTAAAAATCCAGTGATTTTTTGTAAATTTTTTTAGTGACATTACCATTAAACATTATTCAGAATAATAGATAAGTGTCCAATTACAACTCTTACTCTTACTCAAAGTTGTTCATACCTCATATCAAAATTGTTTACATTACCTTTTCAAAATTGTATTACATATTGCAATTATGTATTTTATGTAGAATTGTTTCTGAAATAGTAGTCTAAAATTATTTATATCCATCTGTTATAAAAATTGTTTAGATCTCTTAATATTATTTAACTACATGAAAACTGAACTTTCCAAATACATAATGACATGTCTTGAAGTAAAACTTTAATTATTATCTTTTTCTAAAGATTAAAATGCTGAAATTTTATTTTAACACATTTGGGCTAGAACGGCTCTATTTAGTGAGCACTAGGAAAGGCACATTGCAACCAGCTTTTCATAATTTTTTTATAGTTGGGTGAGCAATCTATAATATATGTATCATTGAACATCTCATAAACGCCAGTGGATGAATGACATTTCGATTAACATAAAGCTAAACAGATTTATAATTATTATTATCAATCTTTTTTATTAATTTACATTTTTTAAATGTTATTGTAATACTTTTAAATTCAGTGTTACTAAATACCTATATTTTAACATTGGATACACTTGTTTAAGGTACAACTTTACAATTTATTGTCACTTAGCCATTTAAATCTTTTTGCTTAAAATGTATATGCATGTCCAGATTTTAATAATGTTTCACATTTTACGTCATTTTGACCATGTACACGATTGTTTGGTACGGGCCGGTATCTATTTTTAACTATATTTAATATTTAAAAAAATACCCTTCATTATTTACCCCATTTAATTCTAAAATTAAACACTAGAGAGGGCTAAGTTCGGCAGTAGTGCTGCCTCTATATTTCACGCACGGTCCCTATTCTAATATATAAGCAGTATTTTATTGTTTTCCAATATTATACCATTTTCTTACATAACAGCAGCATTGTATAGATATTTCCATAACGATTCCAAATTGTAAAGCAAAATAGAATTAAACCTGCAGAATCACAAACTGGAGGAAAAAAAATATCGACAAATCGCAAAACAACGAACGGGTATTGATTACTGCGCAAGCTTGCTCCTAAGTCACTTCTCGCCGAGTTGGTTCAGGATAGTTTACTCCATGTACTCTGCGCCACCCTATTTGAATGTAATAGAGTTAACGCGATTCTCTTGACGAGTGTAATTTTAACGCGAAATAGTACGATAGAGTAACTCTACATACGCAGATTTTATTATCAATTTTTTTTTTTACAATATTATGTGACAATTTGTATGGTTGTTTTGTACCTATTAGTTTTTAGAGCAGCCAAGATCATGTAAGTTATAAATTTCTTCCAAATGTCTTAAAACATATATTTATTTGTATTATTTAAGTTCAAGGACCACACTTAATTTATTAAAATTTTGTCAAAATAATAAGGTGCGTTTAAACAGCCCGATTTTTGTTTTAAGCACATCATATACATTAGAGAGATATTGAAAATTTCTATAACGTCAGCCACAAGTGACAACGTAATTAGAGGCAAATAAATTCCATGCTAAAATAAGACATTACAAACCTGAAATTTCGACACTAGAGTCGTTATCCTTATACATATTTTTAATCTCATTTTAAATTACAGTTCATCTTTTTTGCTGTTTATAATAGTACATAATATGGAAGAGGCATTAGAAATTATCATTTTAGAAGGTTTAGATGACGAAGATATTAAATATTTAATATTAAAAAACTTCGAACTGATACGAATGTTGGCGAGTGCACCAGAAAACTATAAAGCCGCCTCTAACTGCTGTCTTAAAAATCCACAATTAAGGACAGGCACAATCTTTATTAAAGTCAGTTCTAGAATGTAAGTGATTGCTCATGCTCAGATGTCAAGCGGCACTATAATAGTGATTGATCTTAAGTGAACTTGCAATAACACTTTACATAAACATAAATTTGCGGATTTTAAAACACAGCCGTTTATACAGAAAATTTAATCATAAGCCTAAGATTTGATAAATCATTAAAAATAGATGCTGTTTCTGAAATTGCTTTGCCATCTCACAATTATTATTATTAATAAAAAGATATAGAAAAAGAGTTAAGACGTTCGAAAGTTTAAAGTTACAACAATAACATAACCTCACTTTTTAAGCGCACAGGCGCATTTCGACATAAATTTAAGCATTAAAGTTGGATTTTATCTTCACTTATGTTTGTGTTAATGTTTATGCCTATGTTATTCTGTAGTAACAGGTATATTGAAATGTATTGAATTTAACTTTTATGTTAATACTTAAAACTAAATCAGGCTGACTAAACGCACATTTAGATGCTTAATATAGATAGCAGACTTGTAATTAAAATCTTGGCACTGTTTTGGGCGGTAAAGTATCTACAAATTGTGTAGGTATTTATAGGTATAAATTTAGCACCACATTGGCAGTATAATAGTATATGCTATCTGTAAAAAGGTTGGAATGAAAATTCGATATGAGTGGAAGATTCTGAACGCGAGCGTGAAGAACCATGAGCATCGGAATTTCATTCCAACAGAATAGTAGACTGAACTATCTCCACGGCCACTGACACAAACGGAGTTGAATATAGTAAAATAAAATTGAAAAAAATTAAATATTTAATCTAACTTATTTGCATAATTTGTTAGATCAGGAGGAGTATTATCAAATTCCATATCAGAATCACTATATTCACCTATTTTTGAATTTAAGTTCGACTCAACAAATGCCGCTTATGTTTATTCATATTAATAATACGTCGAGTAGAACTGTCAATCATAAAATTCATGGCTATCTACGATGCAGGCGTGATATTCACAGCCATTGGCCAGTAGCTATTAAAGAATGAACATTCTGTCACTAGAGTTAGAATGAAATACGTGTAAAATACATAAGAGGCAAGTATTTCAGAATTTTATTTCAATCTTAAGAGTGGTTTTGGAAGAATTACATTCAGTAGTGGCCGTGGAGAAAATAATTTTAGATGAATGGCAGTGAATTTTCTTGACACTTTTTAATACTAGAAATCTGCCATAAAATATTTTTTCCAATGACCATCTATGAAAACTATACATTGTGTTCTTTAGAATAATTGATTCACCATTTTTATTTGTTTATTATTCTGTTTTACCGATCATAGGCATATTTCTCCGTATCTCTCATACACTCGTCTATAACATATAATAATGTATCTAACGCATCCACCTCGACTTGTATCAACTACGACTTTCACCAAACACGAACAACAAAATTCCTCATCGGTCCTTAGAAGATAAATAGCCTATATATTTATTCTAAGCATCAGTCAGAGATGTAGAGGTGGAACGGTTGTGTTCCCTATATAATCGGTAAAACAGTGAGCATATTTGTATTGTCCAACAAGTTTTCGCTAAGTCAAAACTCACTGCGACCTAAAAGTGACACTTCAAATTTTTTATTTATAACAAGTGGTCGCAGGTAAAAATTTTATTGCAGTTTTTAACAAATTATAACATTTTTTTAAACAGCTATATTGTAATAAGTGTATTGTAATCAATGTTGCCAGAGTTGGTACAATCGTACAATTTTTGGCACTAGGAAAACTGGTACGTATTAGAATAGTGGTGCGGTAGCGGTTTTATGCTGATAGATCAAATTTAATAGAATTGCATGACTTTTGGTACAAGAATCAATAAACTGGTACGCTTTTAATGAAATATTTGGTATAAACAAAAATGTCAGCCTTGGCAACACTTGCAATACAAAGTATGAGCTAGGTTCTATTTGCAATAGGAAATATTTAGAACCTATATTGGCAGTATTTCTTCGTAATTCAACCTTTAATAAATTCAGTTGGGCCCCGAAATTTTAATTTCACATCTAGACTAGCCGAGGGCTTAAATTCCTATATAATCTAAACCGACGATTCATCTATGACTGTGATCACCCTATTGGGAAAAACCTTCCATTTGCCATTCCCCTTAGCGACGCCATTTTCTTCATCATTGTTCGGCGTCTCTTCGTTTTGATTCGCCTTCGATCTGGCCAACGACCAGCGCCTACCCTTCCTGTCCAATATCACAGGCATTTCCGCTATTAAATTATTCTCGAACTCACTAAGCATTAAATAATTTTCTACTTTATTACACGAAGTAATACAGTCTCCTATATAGTCCAAGTCGTCTAACAAGTTGTCCGGAAGATCCATGTCGGCTATACCTGAAATTCAAACACAATATAATATGTTAAAGTATTACCATTTCATAATACGCACCTTCTTCAGAAATACACGTCAATTCCGGTTTCTCGTTAGACAAAACAATATTATCCAAAATACCAGCACCTTGATTCCCTCCCAAGTCTGCCCCCAGCACAAGAGCAGCAGCAGCGGCTCCCATGGTCACCCCTCCTTCGTTATTGTCTGGCTCCTGAGAGAAGGACAGTTTCCTTCTCTGTGGGCAGTTTTCGGCCACGCAAAGATGTCGAGTACCGTTTTCTCGGGTGTGCTTGTGGCGAGCGATTTTCCTCCTGTGCAAGTCTATCAGGAAAAGGGTCAAACTGCCAACTAACACGCACGTGGAACTGAAGTAGTACCCAGCTCTGTCACCACATTTTTCGTTCATGTAACCTGAGAAGAAGAAGTTAGTTGAAACATCGCAAAAAGGTAAGAAGTAGGTATGTAGCGATCAAATGGAAAGCGATTGTATCGAAAAAACTTAAACCGGAAAAAATAACTACTGTCTGTTCTGAATTTAATAAGTAAATAAGCTTACCCGAGAATGGCACGCCTATTACAATGGGTATCGCTTGCGAAAATTGTACAAATCCCCATGTCCTTGCGAAGTTTCTAGCTCTCACGCGTTCATAAGTGTACATCTTCAGAGAATAATGGTAGCCCCCGCAAAATATACCTAAAAAGTAATTTATTATGTAATAATAATTGATATTTGTATATCTAAATGTTTTATATCTAAATAGTTTTATATTGTTCAATTCACAAACACTTACCATAAATCCAAGCAAACATAACGTAAGCGTGATAATTTCCGCTCACTACAGTAAAAGCCAGTATTGACAGTCCACACATGAAGACGGCAGTTTGGCAAAGATACTGTCTGGCTATTCTGCACTCAGTGGAATTATGCAGCACCAGTGTACTAAAAACGACGCACCCCACAGTCCAGGCAAGTCCTAAATACACTTGTAAGAATATGGTGGAGTCTCCTAGACCCTCGACTTCGGCTTGGTACGCCAAATAGAAGAGGGGAGTGTTAATCCCAAATGCACTGATTCCTATAAAAAAAAGAAAACCAAATTTAATTTAGTCTGCGACACCATAGTAATTCTATCTAAAGACAGTCATGTTTAGAAGTATGATTAACAAAATATTCCTGGACTATAATGACTTTATCTTGGTGGGGATACTTAGACTAGGTACCTAGTCTAAGGTGGGATATGAAACTGGACTGACAGCTAGTGAAATCTTGAAAATCAATTGTTCCATGTCAATAACAGATTAACCCTCCTGGCTCCTGTGAAGTCATGGAGGTGTCTTATAGGGACCGTGCGTGAAATATAGAGGCAGCACTACTGCCGAAGTTAGCTCTCTCTAGTGTTTAATTTTATAATTAAATGGGGTAAACATTGCAAGTAAATAATAAAGGATATTTTTTAAAATGTTAAATATAGTTAAATATAGATACCGGCTCGTAACAATTATTCATTATCAATCAATCATTATATTTTGACCAACACTTATTTTTATTATTATTGCGAACACAAAAAAAAGTTTCGAGTAAAAGCTTTATTGTTTTATCTGAACCGACTAAAAATGTAATAACTTGCAGAATTGTATCTACAGGGCGCCCCCAACAAAACATTATTTAATTTTTTTTTATGGGAGACCCTGTTTAGTTTTATAATTTTAAGTAGCCCTGTATTTCCTGATTACAAATATATAATATTATATAAGGCTATTTAAATTACTTAGTGACTTAATGCACTATGAAAACGTAACACATAGATGGCTATGAAAATGACGTTTCCAAGTGAAACAGTTGTTTGTTTATTAAAAGTTGTCAGTTGATTACTTGTAATGGGTTATAGCGTGGCCGAATTGAGATATTTTCAATTTTCGTGAAAAATAATAAAAATAAATATGCTGCAAGAAGGGAATATATGGAGATTTATCCGAATCAGTAGACTCCTTCTGCAAACACATTTGTAAATATTTTTCGCAATGTAAGAAATAATCGAACGTTCGAACGGAAAAAAACGTACTGTTATAGGAAATGATGAAGTAAATATTGACACTTTGCTTTATTTTGAAGGTATGAATAAATTTTTTTAATAAAATACATACAAATATATATATATATATATATATATATATATATATATATATATAAATAATTGAAAATTTTGTTGTAGAAAATTCAGAAAACAGTTTAAAACATGCTGCTGAGGTGTTAAACAGAAGCGTTTCTACAATACATAGAACTTTAAGAAAATATAACTATAAACCATATAAAATATTACCAGTTCAGGAACTCACAGAAGTTCATAAGAGAAAAAGATTAGAATTTTGCCAACAAATGGTTGCAAATTTAAACAATGACTGTATTTTTTTTTAATAAAATTTTATGGACAGATGAGTCAAATTTTTCAACTTCTCGCATTTATAATAGAAAAAATAAACACTCATGGGAACAGAAAAATAATAGAAAGAGAAAGGTAATGGAAATAAAAAAAATCAGGAAGGAAGTCAATAAACGTCTGGTGTGGAATTTTTCAACAAAAAATCGTTGGGCCTATATTTTATAACTTTAAATTAACAGGGGAAACATATTTAGAAACAATTTTGACAGAAGTAGATGAGTTATTACAGAATTACCCAAGACACCAATTAAACAACATGATATGGCAGCAAGACGGAGCACCACCACATAATATTTTAGCTGTTCGAGAACATTTGAATAATCAGTTTCTTATTTGGATGGGCAATAACGGTACTATTAGATGGCCACCGAACAGCCCCGATTTAACTCCAATGGATACTTTTTTATGGGGTTTCTTAAAAGAAAAAGTGAATTTTAGTAATAATAAAAGTATTAATTCTATCACAGGAAAAGTTCGTGCTGAAATTGATATTTTAAACGGACAAAATAATAATTACATATCTAATGCATTACAAAATCTGAGGAGGAGATCAGTTGTGCATAGACAATAATGGAGGTCATTTTGAGCATTTACTTTGATCTAAAATGTAGGTTGTCAATTTTGTTTATGAAATATACGTTTATTTAAATTTTTCCTACGATTCATACTTGTTACGCTTTCATAGTGCATTAAGTCATTAAGCAATTAAAATAATCTAATACAATAAAATATATTTGTAATAAGGATATAAAGGTCTACTTAAAATTACAAAAAATTGAAATAATATTTTGTTGGGGATGCCCTGTATATAGAATTCTGCAAGTTATTATATTTTTACTCGGTACAGATAAAATAATAAAGCTTTTACTTGAAACTTTTTTTTGTGTTCGCAATAATAATGAAAATAAGTAGTGGTCAAAATATAATGAAAAACCCTGTACGTGGTCAAAATTTTATAAAATGTGAAAAATTATTAAAAATCTGAATATGTATGGACATTTTGAGCAAAAAGTGACAATAAATTATAAAGTTGTACCTCAAGCAAGTGTATCCAATGTCAAAATATCGGTATATAGTAACACTGAATTTAAAAGTATTACAATGACATTTAGAAAATGTAATTTAATAAAAAAGATTGAGAATAATAATAATAATAATTCTTTTTGTCAGTCGAAATGTCATTCATCCACCTTAGACGTTTATGAGACACCCAATGATGTACATAATTATATAATTGCTCACACCAATCTATAAAAAAGATTACGAAAAGCGAGTTGCAATGTGCACTGCTATATTTCCTTTCCTAGTGCCCACTAAATAGAACCGATCTAGCCCAAATGTGTTTTAAAATAAAATTTCAGCATTTTAATCTTTAGAAAAAGAAAATAATTATTTACTTCAAGACACATTATTATGTATTTTTAAAGTTGAGTTTCCATTTAGTTAAATAATATTAAGAGATCTGAACAATTTTTATAAGAATGGATGTAAATAATTTTAGACCACTCTCTTTTCAGAAATAACACTAAGTATATAAAACACATAACTGCAATATGTAACACAACTTTGAAAAGGTAATGTAAACTACTTTGATATGAGATATAAACAACTTTGATAGAAGTTGTAATTGGACACTTATCTATTTTTCTGAGTAATGTTTAATGGTAATGTTAGTAAAAATTTTTACAAAAAATCACTGGATTTTTAGAATTTTAAAGTTTATTGCAATCTCATTTGACAGTAATTGGAATGTATTAATTATGATTTGTTTATTTTAGTGATAAATGAGAAATACTTAATAAATTGTAAAGACATTCTAATTTCACAGTAATATTCTACATTACTTTTAATTAACAGAATAAACCATTAATTATCTGTAAAATTATAATTCGCACATCTAGTTCAATAGTGTAAAAATGGAAAATGTTGGCAATTTATTAAAACAATATTGGGTTCCCCCATTATTGGCTGTAAAAAAATCATCAATGCAATGGGGCTGTATCTCACTTAAAGGCCCAACTAAAGCATTACTCAGTTGCATCCACCGATCTGTATTATTTTACTGGATAGGATATAGCCCTCTTAAAAACGTTCCGAAAAATTGGCCGATTTGGGCAAATAATATGGCGGACCGGATGTTATTTAACATAACCTCTATTTCCATTTGTCATCACATTTGTCATTTAATTGTGTCAACAAGTTACGACGAGATGTTTTTTTTATTTATGTAGGTAGTATCGGATAACATTACTATGATATAACAATAAACGTTCTTTCGTGAAGACACAATATGCTTCACGTTTCCATTTTTATATTTTCTTTCATAAAAAAATCAAATTATGGTTGAATTGTCCCGAAGAACATTGCCCGCAAAAGGAATAGAAGAATAATAAGAAGAAAAACTAATCAAATTATAGGTTAGGTGTGTCAAATTATCCCAAAATTCAGTTCTGTGAACCCACCATAATTTGCCCAAATCGGCCAGCAGTGTTGCACTTCCGGTCTCCTTGGTGGAACGGATTTTTAGTATGTTAAATATAGCCTATATCCTATCCAGTAAAATAATACAGATCAGTGGTTGCATCCCATTCAGTCAGATGTAGGCAATTTTACACCGCCATAACCCAAAAAATTTTTGCAGTTGTAGCCCTATTGAACTAAGATGTGCGATTTATATAAAATGTTCATTTAAATATGTAAAAATCTTAATGACAAAAAACACTATAGATTCTAATTTCTAAACCGGTTCCGTAAATGATTGATACAAGATAGATAAAAAGAAAACTTTGCCCAGTGAAATACGCTTTTCGTCGTCTGATTTACATATGTATAAGCAATCTATGTAATTATGTATATCATTGGGTGTGAGACACTAAATTTGCTATGTGAAAATTTATAAAATTTCTTTACTATCGAATCAAATCCAAGTTTCCAAAGTGATGTGTTTGTACATCCACGGATACAACAAGTTTATTCGATAATGATATTACGAAAATAATTTGACTTTATTTAATTAATAATTACTAAACAGTAAATACCGTATAAAACATTAATAAATCCCCCACAAAGTTCACAGTTTTTTCACCAGTTGGCATTTAAGTCATGACGCACGGTCCCTATGTGAGGACTTGGTGAGGACCGAGGAGAGGAGAAGTGAGGACTATTTTTTTTATAAACGAATAGAATTAAGTGTCACTTACTGACTTGTTAATTCATATTTACCTGTGGAGATGAGAAGAATACGGACGGTTTTGCTTTTCAAAGTACTGAAATCGAAGAACGGGACCTTGTCTTCGATTTTGTTTTTGTCTTTGATTTTTCGTTTTTGGTTTTTGATGTGCAGTATGGCACGCCGTTGAGGATGATATAGCGATGCAGAGCGGTAAAATGTGCCAAGGATGAAGGTCACTGAAATGGCTCCTGTCACAACTTGCAAGCCTAATCTCCATCCCAATGCTCTGAAACAAGATAATTTAATAACATATGATATTCATGAATGTAATAGGTATAAGTTTAAGAAGTTCCTTTAAAAATATTGCCCATTCAAGCTAAGTGATACGCGTTCGGGCTTTCTGCATGACATTCTTAAAAGGTGTTTGTAAGTAGGCGGAACTCCGCTACAGTAGCGGATTGCCAGCCTTGATAGCGTAGAAGAAATAAAAATACGTTTTTTCTACGACCACCTATGAAAGTTACACATATCACACTATTTAGTCTTATGGAAAGTGTACTATATCACACGCGTGTGGATAAGAATCTACTTTCCGCCCGTGTGTGAATATGAATGTGGTTTTTGCATCAGCTGTCAAATATGTCAGACACATAATTTCTATTTTAATCTATGTAATGTCCATGTTAACGTTGATTTTTATTCCTAGATCATAGATATATATTTCTGTTCAGATTTGAACATTTTTTTTATATTCACCTATTAAATTCATGAAAATCATATTAAAATAATTTTAATTATTATTTTTATTTTTGTTTTGATTAATCCACATATTTGATTACATAATTCATTTGACGTCAGACTTCATGATCCAGAGCGTATAAAGCGATAAAAGCAGTCTTTTCTTTATTTCTTTTCAAAAAATATGACAGTTAAAAAAATACTACTTGTTATTTAATTTTAAATTCATTTTATTTATCATACTATCACCCCTACTAGATAATTCGTTAATCTTTTTACTATTTATATATTGTACCATTTTGATAACTTAAGTAGGTATTATCTTTAATAATAAAAAAGTTGTTTTACTGACCTATTATGAGCTGTGATTGTTAGTATTTACATTCTGTTTTTTTATTTAAAATTCTAAAAGAATATGTTTTTACTACTTACTACTAACTTAACTAATATGAAACATTTTCGAAATCTAATAAAAATTGCTCCTTTATTCTTTGTAAAAACGCATTTTTCCAAATATATTTAACAAAACAATGATAAACATTAACCATTTTTTTCATTAAAATATATTTTTTTTTAACAAAAAACTCTTTTTAAATAATAGAATAATTCACAATTCACACAACAAAATTTGATCCATTTGTTAAATCGGTAAATCGGGTAAAAAAATTTTTTTATTATGTAGAATTATCGGGTTTTTAATGTTTTTTGAGACCAAGAAATTAAAAAATCTCAATCTCGAAAAGTCTTGAAAGTTTTTCTCGATCTTGTCTCGAAAATTAAATTAATCTTGACTCGAAATTCGAGAGTCTCGTGAAAGCCTAAATACTTGTAAATGTATTTATTGATGGAAACCTTCTTAGTTGTCTGATTTCCAACCAATTAATAATCTCATTTTCGGGGTGGGTTTAAAAGACCTTAAATATTTGATAAATTATTTACGACAATAAAAAAATTCTTGTTTTCTTCCTCTGCTACTTGTTCATTGTTCACCTCTGTCATCTCTACCTGACTGCTCGTCTAAGCTGTCTCTGTCTAAGCTGTCTCTACCTATCTTTGCCTGTATGCTGTCGTCTCTCCTGTCTACTTGTGTATGTCTGTCTATTTGTCTTTACCGGTCACTTTATTCTACTGTCTCTGCTTATCCCTGTTTATAATCTGCTTTCTCTTTGAATCGCTATCACATTTTAATTTTTTTAATTTCTTTACCTTATACTTTTATATCTTTGTTTTAATCTTTCAATTCTTCATTATTCTAATATCTTAATCTTTTATTTTTATTCAACATTTCATATTTTTTTAATCTGACTTTTTTTAAAATTACCTTCTGACATTTTATTCTTCCGACATTCAATAATCCAAATTTTCCCAAAAATAAAAACATCCCTCCCAACTACTATATAATAACATTTTCTATACCTACTCCATATTGCTTTCTCCAATTTCATGACGTTATCTAGAAATTTCCACATCAAAACCCCCAAATTGATTTTCACACCTTTTTCAAGAGACATCAATTTATGTAATTTTGACATTTGAAATTTTTATTGATTGAACTGTTGGATAACATTAAACTCAAAAAAAAAAAATTAATAATAACATTATAATACTTAACTATTCACATTTACAAACATTTATTTTACAAAGGATTATTTTACATCGAAAATATTAAAGGTGTACTCATGAATACATGGCCATAAAAAAGGAGAAATATTTATAAAGAAATCGGCGATAACTCGTAAACGGGCTAATCAAAAATATCTAAAGTTATTCTTTCAAATGTGGGTTTTAGTACTCTAAATCTAATAGAATTTTTCTCTAAAATAGGGAAGCCAATAATTGATCCCATTTAAAATTACATGGGATTGCCTATGTCCCGCTTGACGATGCGACACCCGGTGTACTATTCCAAGCTCAATTTTGAAATTTCAACCTGAATACTTAAATAACAGATACACTATTATGCACATACACAGTTACTGTTCTACTGACCCTATACAACACTTCCAAACTTAAAACAATAGTTCAAAACAATTAGGTATTAATATAAAATTCTTACCAAATTTTGAATTCCCAATTTAAATTTCAAATTTTTCTTTATTTTTTTTCAGGCCTCATGGTGGGCGCCGATTGATATGGAAACCTCCTTAGTTGTCTTTGATTTCCAAATAATTAATAATCTCAATTTCGGGGTGGGTTCAAAAGATATAAAATATTGTATAAATTATTTACAAAAATAATTTTTGTCTTTGTTAACCTTTTATTTTTGTAACAAGTTCATCATCAGTTTTTTTGTAATTTTCAATGAACTACATCTTTTAATGTTAGCTATATTAATCTTGTTACGTTTGCGTTACTAAAATGGCTATCCCTAGTATCAATAAATTCAAACTGTTATTTAACAAAAAGAAGAATTGTAAGCTTCGATATATGTGATTTTTCCTATGGTCTATTTTAAAAACTTTTTTTTGTTGATTACATACATAGTATTTTATTTCAAAATTTAAAAGTGTGAAACCTATCTAACCCAGGTACCTTAATAATTTATTAATTCCATTTATTAAATATAATATCGCATTCTTATTAAATTCAAAATCCTTCATTTAACGAAAAATCTTCCAGATAATTAAATCTTATTTACGACACCTAATAAATAATATCTATAACCCTATCCTTTTCGTGCACGTGTCTGGGAACCCAGACCAAGAAACACTTGACACATTTATCTTAAGTGCGTTTGAATAGTAACGTTTTCAATACACAAAATTTGTAAGGCAAGTAATAAATCAGCCACTCTCTTTCCACCCACATTCGTTTTTCGCTGGGAACTAAGACACACAGAAACATCAGAAAAACCATTAAAACTGCTATAAGATCCCAGACCCAAATGAGCTAGGATTGATTATTTTTTTATTATTTGATGTGCAAGTTTTTATTTTAATATTTTCCATGCCAGCAATCACTTTATTATTTGTATCCAGTTATATAGTCTGTACCTTTCCTAAAACGCTCTTCCTAAACGACGTCTATCCTACAATACTTCTTATCTCCGAAGGTGTCAACATTTCGACGCCCAACGTCTCGCCGTCCTAATTCCCTACCTTTCTACGTTATCACTTCTAACACCACTTTAGTATTTCCTACCATTATATTCATCTCGACGCTCAATGTCTCGAAGCTCAACGTCCAGACGCCCTACTTCCCTGCCTTTCTACGTCTCGAACGCTGTCACATTCCGCATCATCTAAGTATTTCCTACATTACATTCATTCCGAAGCTCTACTTCTCGATACTTGCCACCTCTAAATATTTCCTTCATATTATCCTTGTCGACACCCTTCGTCACGTCCCACACCACCTAAATATTTCTACCGTATATCTGGCCCAATGCAGTACCGTACATATGTCCCAATGCAGTATCGTATTAAATACCTTTCTCTCCACCCAGTCGCTCAACGCTACGACGTACCTAAATCGACGCCGTCACAACGCTAGATGAAATTAGTACATTATCTAATATCTGTATTTCCGATGGCGAGTCAAAAGATTTATGTAACTTTCTTTGAGATACCACCGGGGTCGTTTAGACGAGGGCCTGACATTTTCTTCAAAATATTATCAATGTAACCAATAAACCATATGGCCTTCAGTCGTTCATCCCGAAAGACAGTTAGGTTAGTCATCTGTTTTTCGGGTGAATTTAAGTGAATTCAACAGAAATTATAAAAATCAATATTAAGAAATATACAGAGTTGTATTGAGTTATTTCAATAGAAATTATAAAAATCAATATTTTAGAAATATACAGAGATGTGCTATCTTAAATAAATTGTACAAAGGAAGATGGTAAAATTTAATAGTAAGTTAACCAACTGGTGAATACACTGTTCGTTAGCTCAAGGAGGGACACCTATATACTAAGCTACCCATTCTACAAGGTTTGAAACAAAGTATTTGTGAAATCAACATAGTTTAGTAACCAACTAGCGAATAGAATCAAATCAACATCAACACAGTAGTTAACCAACTGGTGAATTGGCGCTGTTCGTTAACTCTGTTGGTCATTAACCTAAATAAGAATATAAACATCAACACAGTAGTTTATCAACTGGCGAATTGACGCTGTTCGTTAACTCCGTTGGTCATCAACCTAAATAAAATATATCTTGATAGCAAATGAACGTGGTCTGCGTTTGAACGGGACTCAAGTGGGATCTCAGTAAATAGTACCAATTGTAATATACTTTACTAATTATTGCATCACATTTAAAGTACTTATGAAATATAAAAGAGTTTAAATATAAATTTGTCTGGTTTTATTTATCAATTTGCACCAAACTTTGCATCGAATCCTGGTTTACCTTAATTAACATTATCACAACGTGGGTATATAAATTATCAATTAATTAACTAGACGATCACTTCTACTAATTAAGGAAAAAGGTCAAATACAGTAAGTATAGAATTTAAAGTAAAATAAACTTGTGAGGTAAATAATAACGTTTCAGAGAGTAAAATAATCTATCAAAAGGGGAACCTGAGGGGGGCCGT